TAATGCCTTCAGGATGTTGTTAGGGCTGACCCGGACCCGGCCAATCAGGGATGTGCATCTTTTCCGCATGGTCGTAAAGAAACAGTCGACTCGTGCCTCGGCGAACATTCCCGACGCGCTACAGAACCGAGGCAGCCCCAACAACACCCTGAACGCATTGTTGTATTGGACGCGTAAGGCGCTGTACTGCTTTTGACTACAGAGCACCCACAAGCTGCACGTATAGAAGGACGTACAAAACGCTCTAAATAGAGTGATTTTGACATCCCGCGAACATCGAGCGAACCTGCGGGCAATCATATTAGCTCTTACAGACAGCGCTCTCCGCTCCCGCTCAATGTCTGCATCGTCCCTCAGGTCAGAGGTTACAAAGTGTCCTAGGTATTTAAACTTGTCTACTCTGCGCAATGGCGTACCATTCAGTTTTCCAGACACCTGCCTCTGGCCTGAAACACCATACACTCACTTTTCTTTGTATTATACACCAGACCGTGACTTAGAGCATACCTTTCACATATGCCAAGCAGCTTAGACAGCCCACAGGCCGACGCACTCAGCAGCACCATGTCATCAGCATAACTGATATTGTTGAGACATATTTCATCAATATGGCAGCCGACATGAGGGATGGTACGTGGCAAAAAAAAAAAAGATCTCTGGAAACGCACTGTGGATGACCGCAGTGGCTCCAGGTAGTATGGATGAACTCTACTCCGGTGGCGGGCGGTGCGATGGTAAAAACGAGATGCCGGTATCATCTCGAACAATTCCTCAGAGCACTCCCCATGGAACATACGGTAGAAAATACGATGACAGAAGAGGCTCCTTCTTCGCCAGTGAACGCGCAAACTTCTTTATCGGGTTGAAAATGAACCAAACTTCAATTCACCCCATTCGGAGACTTCGCCCCCACGCGCAGAGTTTTCCACTTCAGACACAAGTTTTGATCGTCCTCTTGCCACCGCGCTCCGAGACGGAGAAGGCACGAGTGATGGCCGACTATATCGCGCATGCCCAGCTGTCTGTCAATCCAGCCATAGCCAAAACTGCTATGCCCTCCGTGATACTATGGAACAAGCATGCTCATTCATGGAATAAATACAGCGCCTATCCTTGAAAAGCGTGGGGCGAGAGAGGCATCGAACGAACGCCAGGAATGGTCATGGTATCAGAGCAGTCACCGTCTACAACGACCGTGATGCTCCGCCCATCCAAAAAGCTAGCGATCCACTTGCAGAGTCCCGCGGGGATTCCGTAAGATGGTAGCTTCGATAGAAGTGCCCTATGCCAGACCCTGTCGAAGGCCTTCGCGATATCAAGTGCTCACAGCAAGAGCCTCGCCCTTGCTCGCATCCAGGGGGGGGTTGAGGCAAGGGGGGTTGACCTCGCCCAAGCTCTTCAACCTATATGTGAATGCTCTAATCGAGGAGCTCAGCAGTA